TTAACTTTCAAGTGTGAGTTATCTTGCTCTAAGAAGTTTGAGCCTGATAAGAACTTTGATCCTGAAAGAAAAAGAAACAACTGATTAGACTGAGAAAATAAGAGAACATTGTAGTGGAAATTTTTGCAACTTAGTTTTGGAAATGTACCAGGAAAAGTCACTTAAAACCTGAACTGCATCATTCTTAACGTATACAGCAAGCACTTGTTTATTTTGGAACACAAAGGCTGTCAGTAGCAGACTCACCAGGAGCTGGGTAAGCGAGGTAGGAGGGAATTCCTCTGCACAGGGCTTGGATGCACTTTCCAAATGGGCTCAAGCTTTGGAGTGTGTTCCTGGAGATGATGAAGTGATTCTCTCTCGGTGGCAATTGGCAGGCCCAGGTCCCTGAGCATCAAAGAAACAAAGCCAGAAAACAGCATTTAGGAAAACCAGCACTATTCAGAGCCTCTGCACACTTCTTTAGTATGGGGGAAGGGGTTATTCCTGGGCAATGCAACTTTGGAAGGAACTTTTAGAGCAACTCAGCCCTGCTGAGAAAGTTCTCTTCAGTTCCTGGAGCCTTTTCTCCTGCGTGTGTAGGAGCAGGTGCTTTTCACTGACCCCACTGGCCCCACTTTCAACCACCATCCTACCTTGTCTCCTGGAGGTGGTGTAGGAAAGGGTTTGCCAAGCCAAAACCTCTTGCTGGTTGTAGCAATGATGCAGGTGTTCTTTGAAAACACCTTGGTTGCAACGTAGCCCTGTTAAAGTTGAACAAAATCCCCTTTTTGTTGCAAACAATATACAGGGAAAGAGAAGTGCGTTGCTAGAGAGAGGCACTGGTTGAAAGAAAGGCTTCCTACAGTGCAAATAGTCACAGGGAAAGAAAAATATTGGTCCTTTCAATTATATTGTTTAGGCAAATGTGTCATGGAGGCTGACAGGAGACTTTGGTACAGGGTAAATTGCCTCCTCCAGTAATGCCACGTGTATGATGTGTTCTCCTGCTTAGGGCAGGTGAAGGAATTTGCTGCTGAAAAGCTAATGCAGCACACAGTGCACCAGAAACAGTCCCGAGGCTGTAGGAACATGTTTTCAAGCATCTCCTCTGAAATCTGGTGAAGTTTTACAGAATCAAAGAATCAACCAGGTTGGATAGACCTTTGAGGTCATCGAGTCCAACCCATGGCCTGACACCTCCTTGTCACCCAGACCGTGGCACTGAGTGCCACATCCGGGCTTTTCTTAAAGCCCTCCAGGGACAGTGACTCCACCAGCTACCTGGGCAGCCCATTCCAATGCCCAGTCACGCTTTCTGTGAGGAAATTCTTCCTGTTGTCCAGCCTACACTTCCCCTGGTGCTGAGTCCTCTTGTCCTATTGCAAGTTACCTGGGAGTAGGGATCAACCCCACCTGGCTGGACCCTCCTGCCAGGGAGTTGTAGGGAGTGGTAAGATCTCCCCTGAGCCTCCTCCAGTCTAAACACCCCCAGCTCCCTCCACATAGGGCTTGTGTTCCAGACCCTCTGCCAGCCTTGTTGCCCTTCTCTGGACACACTCCAGCATCTCAACCTCCTTCCCTTTTGTGGGAAATGATAGGTATACTTACAGGGAACTTCATTTGGATGGCAGGCCAGGCCAGCTCTGCTGCTAATTGATGTGTACTCTTACTTTTTATACATAATATCCCAAAGTTAAATCTGAAAATGGGTTTACCTTATTGGCAGGGGCCCTGTGTTCACAGAAGCATGACGAGTTTCCTGGGGAAGTGCTCTGATAAGAGGAGGCTTTGATACCTGCCTGATTGAATTCATGGCATACAGGGAGGTGAGAGAAAAGTGCTCGTGGTAAGCTCAGTGTATTGACCAGTCACTTTTAAATGGAAAACAATGATCATCAGAAGCAGAGCAGAGATTCCCAGTAAACTTGTAGTGATGCTTTGTGCCAATGTGGCAAAGGACTCAGCCTGAAGTTGTGCCTCTGACCAAAAGCACCATTCGAGCCAAGGGGGTGGTAATCTTGCTATGTTAAAAATGTTACGTGGGTCCCTAGAGATCACAAGGTTGGTTCTAAACCATCGGAATTGCTGAGTTCTTTTGCTGCCCTGACTTTCTGAGCTCATTGAGGATCTGCTTTCTTCTTGTCAGACATGGCCCTTAATCTTCACAGAGTCTCTTCAGGAGAGTAGCACCTGATTATGGACTAAGGGCTGATTTGAGAAAGGGACCAAAAACTAGCGGGAGCAAAACATGTGTGAGGGAGGAGCAGTGACATGGTGCATTGTATATCCCCTGTTATTTAGGAAGTACATTTTAATCTTTCTCTGAATTTGATACACAGAGCCATGGCCCAGGAGCCTGTGGTAATTTGGATTTGCTTTTTTGCTGTGCCTTTTCCAGGTTCCAGAAGCAGCACTCCCAGAGGGGCTCACTTCCCAGCTCCCCAAGTGCTTTGTGTTTGACAGCAGTTCTGCCAGTCCCCATGTGCTGATTGTGCCCTTGGCTGCAGTTCAGGGTGGGCTTGCAAACTAAAGCTTCCTCTGCAGTGCCAGACTGGCACGATGGGGACTTGGTGTCTCTCTGATCTGATGTCTCTGAACACTCTTTTCCTCTGCCATCCACTTCCGAGGATCATTATTGCGGCTGTTCCTGGAAAACCCAGGGGATCTTTGTTTGGGAAGGGGAGGCCCAATTGTCACTTGTGCTGCTCAGGGCCACACTCTGTCCTTGTGCTCCTGCCTGGCACCTTGCTGGAGCTCTGTGAGTGCTGAGGAGGTGCAGCAGTCTGCCAGCACTGTGAGCGGAGCGCTCGGCTTTTCATGTTTTACATCCACTTCATACTTTACTCGAGGTGTCAAATACGGAGAATGAAAGTGATAAACTACCAAGGGGGAAGATTTATAGGTCTTCTAATCGGACTGATTTGTGACTGCCAAATGGAGACAGGGAATGTCCTTTGTTTCCAAGATACCAAATACACATCAAAGTCTTGTTTTGCATGTTATGTACATGTCGCAAGAAAGTCCTCTTTTAGAAATTCCGTAAATTGAGCCCTTCTCAAGAAAGGCAAGACAAACCAAGCTGTACAATCCTCCTCCCTCCAGTGTCATTAGCAATGAGTTGGAAAGCAGTTTTGTCCCTGGCTTCCACCAATCCAAGCCAACTTGGCCATTACAGAAATGAATCACCCTTGGAACGCTGACCCTCCACATCTTCCATCAGCCTCTGAGTGCTTGAGCAGTTTGTGTGGCAAACGTACAGCTCAGGCACTTGCCATTAAGCACAGCTTATGTAACTAGTGACAGCAGTAGAGTAGCCAGGAAAAAGGGCAGGTACTGTATGGGGCTTTGCATAAAATACCCTGTTTTCTTTCAGTACAGGTTTGTCTCTGTGTCAGTTTCAAAGCATTCTGTTTCTATAGTAAATTCTTGTCCCACTGTGCAGCAATCTCCGAAGGGTAAGAAACATTCCAGATTTCACCCTTTCCACAAATTGCTGTTTCTTTCTGTGCCCACACATTTTCATGTGTTTTTCTGCTCCTTGCTATCTAGCAAGAGTAAAACTGATGAAATTATTTCTGGTTTCATCCTTGAAGCTGGAGCTTGAGTTAAGCTTTTAACTATGGAATGTGATTAATTCTGTCCTTGAGCCACAGTGTTCTAGGCTATGTCACGCTGCCTTTATCTAAAGCATGACATGCCCACCTGAGTGCAAATGGGAGCATGCAGAATTATGTTGGTTTTTAGAGGTGTTGCTTCACTCTTTACCTTTTCTCCCACTACCTGCTGACTCCCTGATAAAGTAAACATTTGTGAAAAGTACCTGGAGAAAAACCCCGTGTGTCCCCCATGAGAGTTTATTGTGATCATATAATCTCAGCACAACTTGATTGAGTCTTCCTTTTACATGTTTAAATTTCTGTTTGTTAATCAGACTTGAATTGAAATGCTGCAGTTTTACTTTTCACTTGATGCTCAGGGTTCTCCTGTTTACCTGGTTTTTAGTGGATGACTAGTGGTTTTTAGTGTCAAATAATGGATCAGATTTTTCTGGCAATTTTATAATTTAAGAGTAATTTTGTAGCTTTATAATGTAGAAGTAGATGGGGACTGAAATTTTGTCAATTGCTCTTGTTAGCTCAGCAGAAACATGACTCTATTCTTAGCTTGATTTGTGTTCAATTCATACTACTGAACACTGGGAGGATCTCATAGAGAGAATCTGGAATTTGCTATCAAGAAAGAGATGTTCCTGGCAGCAAAAATGGAAGAAATCTTTCATTTTGTAGGTATCATTAGAGCATTAAGGAAGACAGGGGGTTTTTTTGGGGGTTTTTTTGTATGTCCATGTCTGAACCAAAGGCCTTTGGGAGGAGATGAGTGGGAATCTTGCACTCTCCCAAGGGATCAGCAGTTGTGTTTATACTGTGTATGCATCTTTGGAGCACATTTTCATCCATGTCAGTGTTCAACACAATGCCCTGTAGCCAGTCTTTGCTATGCACTGGAAAATGGAGGGCTTTATAAGAACAACATGGTAAGTTCCACAGAGAATCCCCTTCCCCTAAAAAAGGCAAATTCCATGCTTTCCCCTTCTTTCTTTCTGCCTTTTGTGCCACCTGAATCAAGATTCTTAATGCGAGGCATCTTACCCCAAACAGGAAAGGAAGGTCTTAACTGTGAATGCTGTGTTTGTACCATACACACCTTGGGGCTTGCCCAGCTCTTTGTCTGTGTCCTGTGTTGAGAGCTGGCAATCAAAAGAGCATTTGAAGGGTTTAAATGGGGCAGAAGGGAGACAATAAAAATATTCCCATGTAAGTTTCAAAGATGATTGAGGGGTAATGAGAAACAAGCCAGAGGTCATCTATGCAAAAGGTTTTTAATTGAAAGCTTTAGTCAACAAATGATCTGTTTCAGCTTCTGAACCATGAAGAACAAAACTCTTGAAAGAAGAGATATCAGGGAAGAACGGTGTCAGGGTTGGCTTTGGGCAGCAGCTCTGAAGGCTGGATCTTGGTTCAAGAAAGGTAAGATTTTCCAACCTTTCCATTGCCGCTGCAGTACTTCAGCTCCACAAGTCTCAAGACGTCAAGTGCAGTGCATGATTGTTGATTGTATTGGGGTACTTAAAAAAAAAACAAACAAAAAAATTACAATTAGTTCAGGGGGAAGATATTCTTAGGTAATCGATAAGAGCTCATTTTTGTTGCTTGAAATGGACTAGGTTGTCCATAGCTGCTGTATAAGAAATAATTGAATAGACAGAAAAGAAATCTCTTTGAAGTCATGAAAAAACACTGGGTCTATAATACAGAAATGAGAGAACAATGGTGCTTAGAGCTACCCTTTCTATTAGTGTAGGCATTGCAGAGGATATCAGCGTGTAAAATCCTACACAGTAACTTAAGCCACCTCAAACTTCACAGAAAGGGGTAGTAGTGGTATAGATCAGGTCATTTAAGGAGGCTGAGACTATGCCCTTGTTTCTGTCCTGAGCTTTGGAGATGTCAAACTCTTTGTACAGCTGCTGAAGCCTTTGGTTTCTGTGCAGCTCAAGGTGGAAGAGCAGCAATTGTGCATTGTTCATTCCCCAAGGGAAACAAATGCGAGGTCACTTAAAGACAGAATTCTTTTGTTTGCACTCACCATGAACTTCATAAGTCATGTAGGTGGTGAGTCCACTGCACATAGAGAAGACATCTGCTCCATAAGACATGAGGTTACTGACCAATCCATTGGTGACAAAGGTGATCTCCTTGGTAGGTCTTCCAAAAACGCCAATCAGGTTCTAAAGACCAAAAACCAGAATTCAGCAAGCCCTCGGGAGCTGGTTCCCTTCTAGGCCTCTTCCTAGCACTGCAATGATGACTCAGGGCTGGGTGTTTGAGTCCAAACTGCCTTTAGGAACACCCTTTAATCCCCTGGGGGCCTGTGGGACCATTGGGGAGACTTGAAGGCAGCTGCAAAAGCAGAGCTTGTTCTAAGGGGGTAAAGCCTTGAGGCAAGCCATGATTTATAGCTAAAGCTGAATCTTTTTGCCGTGCCATTACTGATAACACTCTGCTGGTTTTCTTCTTCCCCCTAGTTGTTCTTGTTCTTTAAAGCCTTGATTTTTTTTTAATGCCTCAGTTCTGAATCTTCCGTGGAAGCCAGTGCCTACCAAAGGTGAGTATGCTAAATGCTGATACCATTTTTAAAATGTCTGTGTTAATTTAGTGGGTGGAGCTCGTGCTAACATGGTAGTTATTTGCAAACATTTTGAGAGATGATTTAAAAAATTTTCCAGGTTATTGGGATATTTGTTCTTAATCAACTACACCTACACCAAAGAAATTAATTTTTTTACCATGCAAGGAGTGGAAGATTATAAAGATTACCTTACCACATATCTACATTCTTGGGTCATAAGAGAGTATTAAAAAGAGGTCAGTATAAAAACTCATTGCAAACTATGTGAAAATTACCCAGGATGTCTACAACATTAATTAAAAATTAGAAATCTTTGCCTTAAAGAGCTTATTCTTATTTTTGAACCTTTTAAAATAAAATGTAATTCAAAATAAATTGAACTACATAATTAAGAGTGTGATAGAAATCACTTCTAAACACCTAATGGTTTAAAAGGCTTTGAAAATAGCAGGCTTCCACATCTGTTTACTTTCAAATACTGAGCAACATTCCAAGTATCTTCTCCATTAAATTCTTACCCTCCTCTCTGCAGCCACTCTGACAAGTGTAGCAAAGGTAGGCATCTCATTCCTGTTCATGGTGGAAATGTAGCATGTTCGCTCTGGCATCACTTTTGTTGCAATGATACCCTGTAAAATTAAATTATTCAGCACTCACAATTCAGTTTTTTCAAACTGTTTAACATTTGAATAAAGTTTGGATTGAAACAATAGGAAATGCTGTGAGTTTCTACCCAATATGGACTCAGAAATCTAGCACAAAGGCAGCAATCCCAGTCACTGGGCCAGCTGTATGAGTAGCCAGTCTCATTCTATACTTTTTGAACAAGCCCCCTCTGTGCCACTCACCGTGTTGTAGTTCCAGATGGTTTTCCAGGACAAATGATTGCTCTTTTGCTCCATAATTGCCTTCTGTGTTTGGCTATTGATGCTTATGCTTTGTGAGACACCAGAGATGGAGATATGAGAGTCGCCACCAGAGATGGAGATGTGGGAATCTCCATCAGTGATGATTTGTTGGTTGTTATCTGACTGCTGAGACAAGAAAACCACATTAAATATTTTCAGACTGTGCAAGTACCTAGGTCTCACACCATATATTTACAAAACATCCCTGCAAGAAAAGAATAAGTGCTCTGATCTAGGAAGGGATGGCAGTAGAGATGTATTTTCAAAGGATGGAGAGATATTTAAAATAACAAACAAAGAAAAAGGCTGTGGCATTCGGCAGAGGCAATAAGAATAGTTTTCATGGATTCAGTGAATCATAACTGCATCTGACAGCTGCCATCTGGTGCCTTTAGAGGTTGATGCATGCAAGAGCACTGCCCAGATTAAATCCACACTCAAGAGCTTGGAAAGAAAGCTCTGCTCACTCAGTGCTCTCTTAAAAAATCTGAAGCCTTAAGCAGGAACCTCTCAAAAGAGGACATTTGAGGCCAGAAGTGCATCAGGGTTGGCTTTGGCAAGCTCAAGTTCTACCCCCCATTTGGTTCAAGATATCTAAGGACTAAGGATTTCTCACCGGGAAATTGCCATTCCAACTGCCGTTCCAGTTGCCACTGCCATTCCAAATGCCATTGCCATTCCAAGTACCATTCCAGATCCCGTTGCCATTCCAATTACCATTCCATTGGCCATTGCCATTCCAATTGTTGTTCCAGATATTGTTGCCGATGCCATTCCAATTGTTGTTCCAGTTGCCATTGCCATTCCAATTGTTGTTCCAGTTGTTGTTGCCAATGCCATTCCAACTGTTATCCCAGTTGCCGTTCCAATTGCCATTCCAGTTGTTGTTCCAGTTGCCATTGCCGTTGCCATTCCAATTGCCATTCCAGTTGCCATTGCCAATGCCATTCCAATTGTTGTTCCAGTTGCCATTGCCAATGCCATTCCAATTGCCATTGCCATTCCAATTGCCATTCCAATTGCCATTCCAATTGCCATTGCTCAGCTCTACAACTCTCAGGACATCGAGGGTAATGCATGATCCCAGAGTGACCTGGGGGCCTTGGAAAGCTGGAAAAGAAAAGACAAAACCCCATGAGCTGATGCCTAAGGCCTTAGCTCATCTTTTACAGGAGTGTTTCTTTGTGTTTTGAGGTGGAAGAGCAGCAACTTTGCCTTAGTCATGCTGCAAGGAAAAAAAGACCAGGTCAGTAACACTGAGAATTGCCATGCTTGCACTCACTGTGAACTTCAGTAGCCATGTAGGTGGTGAGTCCGCTGCACATAGCTGTGATCTCTGTTCCATAGGAGTAGAGGTTGTTGACCAGTCCATTGGTGACAAAGGTGATTCTCTTGGTATGTCTTCCAAAAACACCGATCAGGTTCTAAACATCAAAAATCAGCAGTCAGCAAACTCATTGCTGGGAGCTAGTTCCTGCTAGGGCTATTCCTTGCTCTGGGAGGAGGACAGTGGACTTCTGTTTCATTCCCAACTGACTTTAGGGACAAACTGCCTTTTAGTTCACTGGTGGCCTGTGGGATCACTTGCTAGTGTCCAAAATAGCTGCAAAGGCAGAGCTTGTTCTAAGGGACTCAAGGTGCAGGGAACTTGAGGGGAAGTGGCAGCACAACAAAAGCACTGAAGGGCTCTACAAAGAAGAGGTTTGCCCAGGGAGCTGCAGAGGCCAACATCCTCAGAGAAAGTGGGGGAGGGAATGATGCCGCCCCTTTCTCATTTTGGCAAAGCATTCCTAAAGCAAAATACTCATCTACATTTCTGTTAAGTGAAAGGAAAGTCTGCCACTAGTGACCACTTGAACTTCTCCAGAAAGAAGAAGCACATGAAGAAATGGGCCAATGATCCCCAGGGCAGGAACCTGTTACTCCTCCTGAATCTTACCCTGCTCTCTTGTGCCAGGCGGGCCAGGTTATCAAAGCGGGGCATCTCGCTTCTGTTCATGATGGAAATGTAGCAGGCGTTCTGTTGAGTGACTTTGGTTGCAATGACGCCCTGTGAAATGAAATTATTGAGCACTCACATTTCTGTTTTTTCTGACTGTTAATGTTGGGATAAATTCGGCATGGAAATCATAACGAGGGCTGAGTGAAGATGCCCCAAACTGTGGACCCCAAACACTCAGAATAAAGGAACAATCACCAACCTTGGGCCACCTGTACGTTGAGCCAGACTCCATGGATGCTTTTTGAAGGAGCCCCTGTCCCTGCCACTCACCGTGTTGTAGTTCCAGATGGTTTTCCAGGACCCAGTGATGTTCCTTTGCTCAATGACGGCCACACGCCATTGCCTGTTGATGGTCACAATTTGGGACTGGCCACCAATGATGACTTGTGTGTTGTTGAAGATGCCGCTGGGAATCTGCTGAGTCTGAAAAGCCAAAGGAAGGAAGATGTTTCACCTTTGAAAGGAGACAGTGATATCCCCAAATTCTCTGAAAAATCCCTGCCACAGTGGAAGAAGTGCTGCCCTCTGGGGAGTGCCTGTCCTGCACTCAGTCTTTTCCAAAGGACCCAGAATAAGGGCTGTGCCAGTGGGCCGGGGCCATAAGAATTCTTTTCATGGATTCAGTGAATCAGTGCTGCCCCTGACAGCTGCCTTCAGAGGTTGAGGCATGCTCATGCATACTGTGGCACTGGCCAGAGTAAACCCACGCTCAAGGGCTTTGATGGAAACCACGGCTCTCCCATTGCCCTTTAAAGGCATCTGAACCTTCCAGCAGGAAGCTGTCAATGAGGAGATGCCAGGCAAGAAGGGCATCAGGGTTGCCTTTGGGCATCTGCTTGAGGTCCACCCCATTTAGTTCTAGAAAGCTAAGGGCTAAGGTTTTCTCACCGGGAAATTGACACTGCCATTGCCAATGCAGTACTTCAGGTCGACAACTCTCAGGACATCGAGGGTAATGCATGATCCCAGATTCAACTGGGGTCCTTGGAAATCTGGAAAAGAAAAGACAAAACCCCATGAGGTGATGCCTAAGACCTTGGCTGACCTTCTACAGGATGGTGGTGGTGTCACTAAGAGCCAACCAGGTTCAGCAGAATTGCTGCTCTGGGAATGTTTGAGCTGTGCAAGGGACAGATTCTCTTGGAGTCCCCAGTGAGCACCAGCTCTGTGGCTCAGCCTGGAATGCTCACAAAGACCTGCCCTTGAACACCCTTGGGGATTTGCTGTGCAGAAATCGGGGCTCTGTTGCACTTTGTTCTGAAAGTCCCAATGGCTGAGTATGGCATGGCGATGCAGCTGCCAGTTCATGGGCCCAATCACATGGGCTGTGATGTTCTGGAAGAATCCTACCATGTATACGTCATTTTAGCCCTGGGAGATGGGATCATTGCTCCAGGGAAAAACCTCCAGGTATCAGAAGAAATTGGTTTAGTGTTGTGAAGCACAAGGCTTTGGTGGCTGCC